CAGCCTCCGTTTCACTGACAGACATGTAGCTACTGTGGAGCTCAGGGGAAGGAGAAGCCAAGGCTCAGTTTGGGGAGGCCTGGAAGAAACATTAGAGGGCCGGGCCCCACGGGCCCCATGTTGGCTACGGGCCCCATCCAAATGCTAACCAGGGCCAACCCTGCTTAGCATCCTGGATCTGAGGAGATCAGGCTAGGCTGGGCTATCCAGGTCAGGGCAAATGAAGAAGGCACATTAGTTTAGCAGAGTGCTCAAAGGCACACATCACGGAGCCTTCCTTGGTGGTCTCCCATCCAAGTACCGACCCTGCTTAGCTTCCGAGAGCTGATGAGATCAGGCTACATGCCAAGGGTGGCCAACCTTGCTTAACCTAAGAGCCACATAGAACAAACATCAGGTGTTTGAGAACTGCAAGACATGGACAAATATCGCACATGGGGTTTTGCTGGAAAATATGCAGATTCGCTTTTTATCAAGATTAAAGGAGACGGCCAAAAATAATAAAAAAACACAAAATGGGTAGAAACAGATACTGATGATGACATTTATTTGTCCAGTGATGTTTATTTATTTGCTAATGATATTTATTTGTCTAAGAGCCAGACAACGCATTTGAGAATGCATTTAAAGTTGCTTTTTTCCTCTCCCCCCCCCCCTTCAATCCTACCCAGGGAGGAGAACCCTGGCTGGGGAAAGAAAGACCGCCCCTTTGCTTCCCCAGCCAACCTGCCGGGAGCTGCACATTATGGGTGCGTTCAGACGGGGCATTTGCAATGGTACAGGTGCCGGTTGGAATTGGTGTACTTACCGGCGTTCACACGGCGAACATCTGCCTTCCGTCCCTAAGCATTGCAAAGAGCTTTACACTGTTGTATTCTGCCACCAGGTCCCCAAGTGGTGGTATCTTGAGTGCAACGGTTGTAATCGCTTTACCACCACCCCCACCCCCTGTCTGATCGCTCTCCAACGTTGTAGAGCCACTTCCGTTCGGAAGCCTGAGGCTTCCGATTTTCGCCCGCCATTTTTTTGCTAGGTCAGCGATATGCGCTTGGGCGAAGCTTCGCCCTGGCGTTTGTTTTTTTAAAAAAAGAAAAGGTCCTTAGTTTAAGGTTCTGGAGGACTCCGAGACCTCAGGGAGGCCAGTTTGGTCTTTAAACTTTAAAGGTAAGTCCTTACCTTTAAACTTTAAATGTAAGACGGGGTGTTTTGCGCATGTGTGAAGATTGCCATTCTGTGGATGGCTGCCTATGCGCATGCTCAAACTGATGCCCGCTGCATGTGAACGGGCATACAGCGATGGGCTCCGCAGACAGGAGGTAAGTGTGATCGCGAATGCCCCGTCTGAACACACCCACTGTGTGAAAGAGCCACATGTGGCTCCCGGGCCGCAGTTTGGCCATCCCTGCTATATACTCGGCCACCTTTCCTCCTGGCAGCCCCACGCTAGGATTTCAATCTGATCTCAAAGTAGGAGTCCAGGATTCCACTCAAAGCCCGTGCAGCCCCATCCCTCCATGGACAGGAAGCACACAAGACCTCCTTTCAAGGTCGGCTGTTTCATTCTTCTGGTTTGTCATCTGAGGCCCTCCTTTATGCCGATCCATTTAAAACTGTCGATCTGGTCAAGGGACAAGCTCTAGATTTCCGTTTCTTCCTGAGTCCGAGAATAAGTGTTTTCAATGCATTGAGAAAAATGGCATCCCTACATGGACTCAGAATCCAACCCGCCTCCCAAATGAAAGATTCCGCTTGCTAGAAATCTAATTACCCAAGGGCTCTTTTTGTAGCAGGTACTCATTTGCATATTAGGCCACACACCCCTAATGTAGCCAATCCTCCAAGAGCTTACAGAGCTCTTCTTACAGGGGCTACTGTAAGCTCTTGGAGGATTGGCTACATTAGGGGTGTGTCGCTTAATATGCAAATGAGTACCTGCTA